TATTTTTAAGGGACATAATCATCCAGCATTCAATGCGGTCGTGGTTTACACTTTTTCATATATGGAAAATGAGGTGACTTCAAATATACGTTCGCAATCCGTTTCCATCCGTCGGTTTTTAGCTCGAATCTTACAATATCTCCATTAATAGAACATAAARGGTTAATAAAGAGTAAGTTATAGCACTTATTAAGATTTATCTTTATTTCAAAACATAAACAAAGGCTCGAAAGGAATGCTGGTAGACCATGGTCCTTTAAATAAATAACTTATTATAACATTAAAAATGATTTCATCGCTTACCTGGACGGTAAGACTCGATTTATCTTTCGTCAGCTCCTCTTTCTCCTTGGCTAATCGTACAACATTCGAGCTCTGTCGCTCAACCTCGCGCCTCGTCTGRAGCAGCTCGTCATGCAAGCCATCACGCTCACGTGAGACCTGGTTMAGTGCATCRCTAAGYTCTGCTCTCTCGCGGTTTGACAAAATCAACTCCTGTTCSAGTTTCTCGCGTCCTGATTCTTGGAGGCTGAGGTTTTGGTCGAGGGTACTTTTCTCCGTGTCCAAGTCAACTTTCTCTTGTTCTACACGAAGGAGCTCCTGACGGATGCTATGCTTTTCCGCCTCGACGTCGCGTTTTTCTTGTGCAATGGCGTTCTTGTCGTTTTCCATYTGTTTWATGATCTTGTTGAGTTCGAGTTTATCTTGGCCAAGTCCTTCGTTTAGTGATTGAAGTTTKACCAGWGCGTCTCGTAAAGCGATTTCTTCGGATTTCATCTTTCCTATGGGTTTAAGAGAAAAATACTTATTAGCTTGACATGTAATATTTATTATATTAAACTCAAATTCATATTTCAAAACAAGAAAAAGAGCAATTTTGCTCTGAGTATAAGTGGTGATGTGTTATTTCAAATGTGAAAAAAAACAAACACTTTTTTAGAGATTTCCTGGTATTTTATTGAAGTTTATAAAAAATATAACATTTTAACATAGCAAGCGGTAAATGTTACATCAAATAATGGTTGCCTATCCTGTTTATCATTCATGTCTTACCAATTTCAAGTTCCAACTCCGCCCGCTGTACTTCAGATTTCGACAARACATCAGCCAAGTGGCCCTTCTCTTGGTCAAGAACCTCTTTATCAAGCAAAGCTCGAGACAGTTGCTCTTTGAGGTTGACAATCTCTTCTTTGAGAGTAGATTGCTTGTTCTCTAGCTGTTCTATGACCTATATTTAATATCAAAATTAGTATTTAGTTTGTATGACAGTTTCTATATGAGAATTTATGTCAGTAATACGAAAACTGAGGCAACCGATAATTACTTTACTTCCAACCTTTGTTTTACAAACACCTCTGTATTACGGTCACCTCTATATCACAGACACCTCTATATTACAGATACCTCTATATGACGGACACCTCTATATTACGAACACCTCTATATTACGGACACCTCTATATTACGGACACCTCTATATTACGGACACCTCTATATTACTGACACCTCTATATTACGGACATCTCTATATTACGGACACCTCTATATTACGGACACCTCTATATTACGGACACCTCTATATTACGGACACCTCTATAATACGGACACCTCTATATTACAAACACCTCAATATTACACACACCTCTATATTACAGACACCTCTATATTACAGACACCTCTGTATTACGGGCATCTCTATATTGACATAAACCTCAAGGTTACAACACCTCCACAGTACAGACACCTCTTYATTMCGAATTCGTCCGGCTTGACGAGTATCTTTTTACCTGTTTTGATCTCGTCAGTTCTTTGCCAAGTCGYTCCTTCTCCTTTTCTAAGTCTTCTTTGTCGTCTTCGAGRTTATCTCTCTGTCTTTGAAGCTCGTTGTTCGCAGCTTGTAACTTCTCGTTCTCMGCGGTTACACCGTCAATTTGCTCGTTCATTGACTGTCGTAGTTTCTCAAGGTTCTGYTTCTCTGTTTCCAGGACGTTGGAGTTTGACTTGAAGCGTTCACGGTCTTGGCTAAGTTCTGTGGCTTTTTGTTTGACGGCATCGACTTCRTCRCGCGCAGAGGTTAACGCTTTCTCAAGACGACGGCGTTCGTTCTCGCTCTCGTCAAGTTGCTTCTTGGAGACGGTGGCGGCCTCACGGGCAGCCTCAGCACGAGATTTCAACTCCTGATAAATTAAATGAATGGATGAGTGTATTGAATCAAAGAATTAAATGATTTGAAGGCAAATGACTGACTGATTGACTGGCCGACTTATGTACCGATTTACTGACTGTCGGATTGACTTTCTAACTGATCGACATACTTGCTGACCGACTGGCTTATTGAATAACTGACTGACAGGTTGCCCGATTGACTTACTAACTAATCGACAGACGTACTTAGTGACTAATTGACTGACTAACTTACTTACTCACTGTGACCTACTGTCTGACAAACGACTTGCAAAGTGACTCACAAAGCGAAGGAACAACAGGCTAACTCAACGACTGAGCAATAGAAAAAAAGTTCTAGATTCAGACCTACCTGGACTTGCAAATTGCGTTTATGAATACAAGAGTTCACWGTAGCTATGGCGTTATCAGCCAAAGCTGGTGATCTCGCACGAGTAGGAGATACTGAACGAAGTCTTGAGGCACGGGATGGTGACACCGAACGCCTAAATCCTGAATCTTCTTCCTCGAGCATACTCTCTGTCAAGTCCTCAATCTCTGCCCCAGGGGACCCAAGCAGTCGAGCAGAGTTTTCTGTGTCTTGCTTCACGAGGAAGACGACCTCACGGAGGGTGTTATTGAGCATGTCTGCTTCTTCGCGAACTGCGGCCATTCCTGCTTCGCTTTGAGTCTCCCATTCTTCGGTCTGCCTGGCAAAACCAGACTCCTGTAGGTTGATTTAATTTATAAGTCAAGAAGAAAGCAATATAACAATCACTGAATAAGGTCGCATATACGATTAATGTGTACACTTAACGAATTTATGATTATTTAGTGTTTTGAGAGAGAGGTTTTCACTTCACGATGACTTACAACTACAATCAACAGAACTTTACATTAGGTGAACTTCAGTGGATTCAGTACCAACTGTTTTCCTAGTTTTTTTCTGTCTAGTTGTAGTTGTAATTTCCCTATTTCAGTATGACGTCACAAAATATTCTAACGCTAAAGATTATGGTCGCAAGACGGGATCAGTGACTACCATATCAAATAAAATGTACATTAGCAATCTTTGATCCTTGACATTTATAAAAACTAGATAAATTGAAGTTCTTCTTTCGGAGAGAATGTATATAAATGGGTCCAAATTGACACTTTTTTGACAATATTTCTCCGAAGTAAACAACCTGTGACGTCATAATGAAATAGGGCAATTCATCATAAAGTACACCTCTTACTCGCACAAAATGAAGTAATTATAATAAAATTAACAATCCAACAAATTATACAATGGTTAATCTTTTTGAGAATGATATTTTTTTCTTACCGTGTTCTTGAGGACTTCTTTAGTTTTTTCCAGGTCTTGGTACTTCTCGTCCAGTTGTGCTTCTAGTTTATCTTTCAAAGCGGTTATCCCTTCCAACCTTCATAATAAAAATAAAGTTTGTTTATTAACCACCATAATCGCACTGTTGAGAKTTACATCATGTAMGAAGAGGGTGCATGAAGTCTCGTCTTTCTTAGGAGTTTTCGCGGGAAACAGTCACGTGAAMASAACACATTGACAGCTAGACAGCCAATCATGGTGAAGAAATRCAAATATAAAAACACTTACTTGGTTTCCAAGTTGGCCTTTTCATTATCGAACTTTTTTTGAAGCTCCATGATTTCGTTGACTTTTTCGCGCAACTGTTCCTCGGCCTGAAAGAAAGAAATGAAAAAATGAACGGAGAAATAAATGAATAAAAAAAGTAAAAATTGAATCATTGATCATTTATTTCTTAAATGAATCATATATAATTTTTAAAATTGAATTTTATTGAACTTGTAATTGTAAAATCATTTTTGAATTTGAAGAGAATCATACCTTTTGGCGTCTGCCTCTCTCTTCTTCAAGAGCAGCCTGCGTGTTGGCATCCATACCACGAAGGTTCTTGTCAAGATCCATGCAGGCTCCTTGGACAACACGAACAGACTTGTTGACATCGGCTCGAACCATTGAGAGATCCCTGGAAAATGACAATAGAAATTATTGTTATTGATTTGACATTTATTTCAACTTCCAAGAAATAACAATGAACAACCAATCAATACATTCATGATCTTTAAAATTCAGAGTATAATTTATAGTAGAAGGTRCTCAAAACATWAGCCATGTGGGAGATCAAMACAGAACATGACGCAAACAACATGCTTGAATGTGAGCATGCTCAGTAACTCACCTTTGAGTAGCAGACTTCATTTCATTAAATTGTCTTCTAAAGCCATTCAGAGTCTTCCAMAGCTCCATTAGRCGAGCATGCTCATTTGTGAAGTAAGCCTGTTCCTCGTCATCTCTGGTTTCAATTTCCTCTTTCGCCTTATTCCAATCAGAGGAGAGTTTCTGATTTTCTAGGCTTAGCTGTTGATTGGCGGCTGCCGCTTGATCAAGCTGTTCACGTATCATGTTGTTCACATGCTGAAGGCTTGCGCTCCTGAAAAGTGGGAAAGAAACAGAATGGGATTAAGTTTCTGGGGGAAAAAATTTTTAAATGACCAATTTTAATTTGTGTAAAATAATATATTCTAAGAATTTCAATAATTAAAAACAGATAGAAGATATTTCTACCTTTGTTGTTCTTCTTCAAGTCTTATAAGAGCATTTTCAAGGTCGCTGCTGGCTTCTTCTTCTGATTCTTTTAGTTTCAGTTCTTTTTCTCTGAGGCTGTCTGTCGCATTTTTCAACTGAAAACAAAATCAAATTATGAAAAAATACCGCACCACAACTTCATTTCTCTAAAATAGTCACAAAATACAAGTTATTTAAATAAGAAAGTATTTTTTAGATTTTATTTCACATAGACATAACCAATACACTGGGACGCTACGTGAATTTTTGGTCAAGCATTTTTGAATGCTTTTTGTCTGTTGCCAGAATTCAAATATTGCGAACAATATAAAAAATCTTCAATCTTGAGATTTATTATATGAACTTCTTTATTAATGGGCTCTAGCCACAATTACGATATCAGGYCAGCAGGGAACTGATTTAGAATTTTGTAATAAAAGCATCCAAGCTGTGAATGGATATATCTTTATCATTACTAACATTCAAAATTAATACCTTTTTAGAATTCTATGGGATTTGAGAAGAAGAATTACTATAATTTTTTTTTATTTTAAGCGTTGTACATGATGTCCTAAAGTTTTMAGCTTAGGGTACTCTCCATTTGCAAAATTTGCAGMTTTTATTCTAACTTRCTAGCTTTGCACCARGAAATGCTGAAACATTTTTAGAAATTCTGTGATTTTCCTATAAATATTAGCTGAATTCTTTTTAAAAACTTTCAGCGTTACATTCTTGATTTCAAATTTACTATCTCAAAATATATTGAATCTTGCATGCAGTTATAATTTTTGAAACCAAAATATCTTCCAGAAGTCCCTAATGTTGTGTAAAGGTCTTTCATGACTTGCATTTGGAAATATAGTTTCATAATACTCCAGTTTCGAATTCAAAGCGAATAACCACTGTTTTACTTGTCAGCAGATTCTATTACGCAAAGAACTTACCAAAGACAAAAGAAAGCACGAGAAAATGTTGTTAATACAATAGAGCGCTAAGAATCTACATTTTCYYYGAGYWGAGGCTAACCCTGCTCATACCTTAGGTCTCATGGGAATACAGGGTTAATCTCAACTCGGGGAAAATGMAAATWTTCAAGTCTATTGTAATAACGACATTTTCTCGTGCTCTCTTTTGTGTTTGTAAGGTCTTTGCGCAAGAGAATCTGTTGTCAAATTGAAACTGGAGTATTACCATTTATAGTCAAAAAATCAAACCAGTTCTTACCTCCTTTCTAGCAGCYTCTTCTGCACTTGATTTTTCTGACATGCTGTTTTCTAGTTCWCCACACTTTCTTTTATACTGTAAAACCTTCTGTTGTAGCTTCTGGATGAGCTGTGCTTGGCGTTGYTGCCCATCTTGATAAGCCTGCAACTTGCGCTTGTAATTAGCATGTTCTTCTTCTAGCTTGTTYTTTAAGTATGCAACTTGCTGGCTAACGTTGTTGTTGTCGCCTGGGGTGCTGCTCAAGAGAACTCCATCTGTGCTCGATGGGGAGATGGGGGTATAAGTGGGTCTCTCAGGGCTTCCGCCTTTCACATACTGTTCAAGCTTTTGAAAAGAAACAAAAAATATATATTATTTGAATGGATAGTTAAGGTTTCTAACTAGAAGCGTGCAGCCGAAGAAAAATCGCCAGTTGTAGCTTAGTTAATCGCCAGCAAATTATTTGGCTGTACTCTTCCTATTTTGATGGGTACTTTTCTTATTTTGACGTCTACTTTTATTTTTACTGAGAATCCTGATAGTTACTGTACCTAACTGTATTCATGGATTTTGTTTATKATTTGGTGAATACAGTTTAATCGTATGAGGAAGTGGCTGATATATTATTACTTAAAAAGTAACTGGAAGTATAGAAAACTATACATTGACACTGACAAAGTTTGTGCCATTCTAGCAATGCAATTTATGAAGATGGCAGATGATAAAGATCATGCAACTAGTTTAAATATCACTTGAGTTTAYCCTGCACTTTTTCATTTTTTAAATAATCAAACAAAATTATAAAATTGTCAGAGTTTTACATGTGTTGCTGCCTTTTTTCTGTAGCATATTTTTTATTTCATATTGCTTAAGAACTTTAATCCTTTATAACACAGATGTTCTATCTATTAATATATTAGCTGATATCTTTGAAACCTTTATTGAACCTTTTTATGTTGTTTCTATGACGTACATGAGGAACAATATCTCTTTTTATAGAAGATTTCTGGATAAAATTGTTTTTAAAAAGAGGATGGAAACTTTTGTTACTACCYAGGGCTCAAAACCACAGCTTTAAGGTGATTCTTTCAAATTCAGATTGACATGGAGCTTTTGTCTGGAGCTTTTGTCTTAWYTTGACCACAAAAATAGAACTTTATTGAAACTTAAAACTTGTAAATTTTCATGTCTGAAAGTCTTAAACTTTTTTAAATTCAATTGACTCATTTAAAAGAAAAAAAATTGGAGATTTTCAATCAATTTATTATTAATGATAATATTTTTATGAAGTTTTTTAATTTACATTATAGTCCAAACAACTTTATATTCTTTTTGAAAAGAAACTTTAAATATRGTTGATTATTAATAAATAATTTGCAGGTATTTCGAAACAAAATTTACTGRAAATATTTGCTTTGCAAATGAGCTCAGATCTCTGCAATTAATTGTTAATTTTAATAATAGGATATGTGAATTTTTTGTGGCAGTAATCCAAACAAATGTTGACAAAGCTGGTGACTTTAATTGTGTATRATTATATACTTTTTTATCTGCTTTTTATGAAATTTTCATTATGAGGATTCACATGGGCAATAGACCAAAAAGATAATTATTATATTTATCTTGCAAGATAAGGATTTAACAATTGAGTTGAAGAAAACATTGTTAAAAGTTCGCATGTTTTGATATGCAAACAGTTTAAGAACTAAGAATTCATCAGTTGCAAAAATGAACCAAAGAGAAATAATGGGAGAAATGAGAAAAATTGGGTGAAAAAATAATTTTTTTAATTTCAATGTCAACGATTTCTATAATCTCACTTTAAAAATGTTTAACAATTATACTTAAGAGATTTTTTTAAGTTTGAATAGAACGAGGAGATGATTTCTCAAAAAGCTTTTATAGCTATGCTACAAATTGTTAATTAGGTTATTATAATAATTCGATACAATTGTTGACAATTGCCACTCTTGTTCTGAAACATGAGCATGCTACCTCCCAGGTGAATTGACAAACGCAAGTAATATTGACTCAAGTGCCATCAAAACTCCTCGAAAATGAAGAGAAATCTTCCCCCAGRTAGCCTACTCTAGTAATAATCACTTCCYMTKGGATTTTACGTGTAATAACCTTTGCAAAGATTACAAATATACCAATTTTTTGTGCGCGCTGAGCTTTGAACTGAGTTCATGGCAACCATGGAATGCTGAAAGCGAGGGACCCTGCAGTTAACAGTGTGCTGTTCAGCAAAAATTTTAATTAATAATTTTTGGATGTATTTTTGCTCGAGTCGTGCATATCGAATCCGCCAACGCGAGTATTTTTGAGGATTATTTTTGTGTAATTAAGGAATAACTTTTATACATGTTGTCAGCTTGTGTTTATTCTCAGGTCAAAGCTTTTCTGATGAAATATTCAAAAACGTAGCGTCCTTTAGCGTACACGTTCCTCTAATAAATGTATCGGTCAGTCGAGTGCGGAGAGAGTCCGAAAAGTTACACTTKCTAAGGACTTCGCACGATTTGTGAGGAAAGCTCTTCCCGTAATTAGATAAACAAAATCGTTTCTAGACACAAATCTTATATTTTCAGAGAGCCAATAACAACTGTAATCTAACTTATCAAGCTAAAAATAAAACTAAAATACCGAGCTTTTTAAGTTTTAYATTGAATATGTATAGATTCGAAGAAGGACAATCGGTCGTGACCCGAAAWAATTTATAGTGACAACAAAAACGAACAGTTAGTTTTGCAGGGTTCTARTTCATCASAAWACTTACCCTTTCGCTAACRGCCATGTATTTAGATCCAACTTCATCTCTCTCAGCTCTAGTAGCAGCCAATAGATCTTCTAGCCTGCTGACTTCGGACTGTAGCACTCTCGTGTCGTCTGCAAGRCCGCCATAAACAGGAGAACTACCCGCCATTTTGGGATCAGGAGAGATCGATTTATTGACGATATCTCTTATTTTTGTGGGAACTGTAGGGCTYTTWGTACTTGGATCTCCGTTCAGATGCTGTTCTTCAAGTTTCTACAAAAGAAAACAACCCATTTGASAACAATTTACAATTGTTCAATGAAGTTTAGACAAACCACAGCTCCTATTCCTTCACGTGTTTTACAAGMTTCGCTAACAAAGTTCGAACAAACCTTTATCACAGAGCTTAAACCCGGCTCTGAAGCCGTTCCATAAGGCGAACTTCTATAATCCTGATAGCTCATTTTAGCATAATACTCCCGAAGACTACGAGAAGACAAAAACAACCAGCCGCCGAYTCGCACAAATGTTCCTTCTTCCACAGGTACCCCAAAGTCCTTTGTTCAAATTTCAGCTGTTTTGCTCGGCGTGCAGGGCCACCTTAATTTATTCCGACTCCAAAAGTCTAGATTACTCAGACTTGTTTTAACTGAGTTTGCACCGATTTAAATTTTTCCAAGTGTTTAGCWGCGAATAACGTGGCTATTTGATCCTGAAGSCTTGAATGACAAATGGACAGCCTCAAAAGTCGATGTATCGAACGACGCGACGCCGTACTGCACGACTTGTTTCTATGACAACAGGACGCTATTCCTTGTTCAATTAGTGTCAATCGAGTCACACAAAACAAACACCACAAAACAGCCCTTTTGTTTCATATAAATTAGTATTGTAATGTCATTTACTTCAACGGGCTTTAAGCTGAATGCTTAGACATTCTAAACAGCTAAAAACAAGTCAAAAATAAATTAAAATTGCCTGACAAAAAGGGCATTCGCTGGCCGCACCTTATCTCGCTTTCCACAGATTCTTTGATGAAAGCTTATAAAAGCTTAGAAGCTTTCTCCGGTTCAAATGCATGACATTCGGCTTGCAAATACAGGAAAAAACAGACAAGCAAATTCCAGGGTTGTCAAAACGACACGATTTATTTTCTACACAGTGTTTAAGTATAAAGCATAATCGAGCAGGACCTTCGACGAAGATCACCGACTTTTTCTCTCAATTTCTGCTTGACCGGGTTTCTTAATTAGCCTTTTTTGTCTGATCAATTAATTTGTTTTTACATGAATCGAGCCTAAAAGACAAATAAGAATTTGAAGATTCTGTAGAACTCTTAATAATTCGTGCATAAAAAAATACTACTCGCTATCCCGTTGTCAATCCAATTGAGTTTTTCGTGGCCTTCAAACTAACATCGATTACACCTGCCCCAAATTCAAATTCATAGAGAATATTTTCTTGAAGTTTGCATAATTTAGTTTGAAGATACAGAGGAAATATCTGGTTAAGCATAATCTTTATCAAATAAAATAATGAAGAAGCCATTAAAGTGATGATCAGTGTCCCGGAAAGAAGCCATTCGAGTGCACATTCCATCCGGATGCCTTTCAAATGTTCAAGTCCAGAAGATKRCGTTTTTTGATAAAAATCGGAAAAATATCCAAATGATATCAAAAATATAATATTAAACAGAAATAATAACAAAAGCATATGTAGTCATTTCCTTTTTAATACAACGAGGAAAAAATTATTCTCTACTTTGTAAACGAGCCTGGACACCACTCACCAGCTTTTTTTTAGATTATAGATTTTGAAGTTTGTCTAAGTAATAATCTGTAAATTCCGCGTACAGGTTTCACTGGGATTAATATGTAATCCTAAGCAAAACGACAATGAAAGGTTTACTAATGTCAATGAAAAGACCAAAAGCAACGACGCTTTCAAAAGAGCATCAAAATTAATCTTGGGACAAGAATGCCCTAATTTAGACAGACATAATCAATTGCCTTGAAAATCAAACACGGTGAAAACATATATTTTTTCCTTTGAAACAATGTACAGATAAAACTGTAAATTGACTTCAAATGCTCTAAATAGATAGCCTCTTTTCCTTAAAATATACATCTTTGTCAAAGTCCGCGACCAAGAGCACCGGCTAGAGCATAAAAACATGGCTGTCGCTTGTATGCAGTGCTGCCCACAAGCAAGAAATTCAATGCATAGTTTCCTTTGTATCAAACTTAAAAATTCTTAGCCTTCAAAACCACAAATCGACGCAAATCGAGCTGATACACTATATACATTGCGCAGTGAAAGAAATGTAGGCTCGTAAGTCGARCAATACAAATTGCTCTCCGCTGAAAAGAGGGATTTGAAATCCTAACATATTAAGAGAAAATATTTGCTTTCCTTACCTAAATTAATCGAGAAATGCGTCTCCTCAAAGAAAAAGCCGTTCGCACCTTGTTCTCCCTCGATCTCAGCTGATTTCTGCGTCGCGCGGCCGTTTGGGCAAGTTAAACAAATGTTTTTAAAAGATGTAAACAAAACGCGGAATTTGATTGGACAGTTTCAAGGAGCCGCAGTACAGCCCGACTGAAACCAAACTTTGATTCCAAGCATGTCACCAATAACAAAAAAAAAAAAAAAAAAAAAAAAAACTTTATATCTATGATTTTTGTCTGCTTTAGCTCGAACAAGGAAAATAATTTTGCATGAAAAAAATGTTATATCTTGCGATTCTAATAAATGAGAGAGATTTCGCAKCCGAGTAGATTATATAATCTGTTTCATTGACTTTTGACTTAGAATTGCCCGGCTCTTCATGACAAGATCACAACGCAAAGCTGTCCACAAACTCAAACCGGACTTTAAATTATTTGGCATTTACTACGGAATATAACGTTCGATATAGGCCTAAAAAAGAATTATCGAAAACAGATGCTACTTCGAATTGACGTTGTGCGCTGTCACCAATCGCTGCGTACAGCGTTAAGAGTAAAATACTGCACAAATCAGTATACAACATGCACGCACTAGCTAATTTCCAGCAAACATTTTCGCGCTTTACATAGCGCAAACTCTACATTATTAGCTCTAATCTGATGTAATATTGTTTGACTTCAAACTGTAAAACAGCCCTTAAAAAGAAGGTGCATTCCGATATCGCAAAATATAAACTTAGTTCTCTTGTCTTGACAAATATCTCGCAAAGAAATGAGTCTGAAAACATTTTTATATGGGCTAGCAACATTCGAAAATATCATACAATCATGCTAAAATGCTAATKRAAATTGCTTAATAAAGTTTTGTACAATGAGGTGTCGGGACAAATACCCCAAAACAACGTCAACGCCTCCTATCTTTTGTACGGAAGAAATAATTTGCAGGAAGAARAGGCACWTCAAGCATTGTCAGAACAGACTGGCTTTGTTTGAATTTGATTAATTCACGCAATGTTTATGAATTTAAGACAGAAAAGCTACTGAAGCTATATTAATTTACGTTCCACATACTAACTCGAATATAGTGTCAATCGTGTCTATAACCTAGAGAACTAGTCTTAATCTATGCCGTTCACATGCAATAAACAAAGCTTTAAACTGATATTTTCTCAGTACAATTTTACTTGTGCAAAATATAGCAAGTCGAAAATTTCAATTTGAATATAGGATAAATTTAGATTAATGCGACCTCCAGTTGTTAGCCTGATTGGAACTCGATAGAATTTTGCTGTTGCTATGCCAACTGTTTGTATACACACGTAATCATAACTCGACTTTTACATCTAGTTCAGTGCCCGCAGAGTAGGCGAGGACTATTGGTGATATTATTATTATGGCAATACTTATAATATGTTTTCAATAAACAGTTTTTTGGCGCAAGTCATGCGCTTTCGCATAATTTCTTTTCGTTCATGTATCCATCCATTTTTTCACCGCACTGCCAAATTTTAACTGCATAACAAACAAGAACAAAAGATAGCTATCCGAGACATTTTGTATTGAATGACACAAATGGGGCTGGGAGTACAAGTAGCTGATTTGGGTAAGGTTTGGCATGGAATTAAACTTATTAAAGGATCGGATAGTCGGAGTTAGGGCAATAGTAAAGAAATATCAACACAGGGATCTAGTATAATAATTATTATATCATTTAGCCCGGTGGTCGACTACCTATGCCCGCATACCCCATGGAATATACATACAATCGTACAATGGTACTTACTTTTACTGTGCGAAAGAAGATTTTTTTTCTGAATTATAAATCAACGTTTTTGTGCCTTTAGTTGTGCATTTGGGGCCTAAAATCGATTGATAACAGCTGAACCGAGATGTAATGATTAATCTTCTGTGTGAAATGTTATGACTTATTTATCAGAATACAAGACGTGAAAGTATATTACTTTAAAATGATGAAACCTGTTGGCAAATGAATGATTCGATATGAATAGTTGCCAAAAATACAACCTCGTTGGTACTCAGTGCAGAAATATCGAAAAATAAATGAATCGAAAACAAAATGAGAATGCATCATTTTGGAAATAGTGAAACTGATATAAATAATAAGTAAACTAACAAATGAAAAGTCACAAGTATCTTAACAAACCAACAAATTAACCAACCAACCAACCACCAACCAACCAACCAACCAACCAACCAACCAACCAACCAACCAACCAACCAACCATAAAATGAATAATGACAACGGTATCAACTGTGACTAAAATAAAGAAACATCTTGGGACCAAACTGAATTTAGATCATGAATTTTTAAAATGCTATCTTAAAACTTTCAGTTCCTAATTTATAAAGAGGCTTACAGGGGGCCTAAAACAAGCATATTTTCATTAAAATGTTGTATTTTGTTTACACTTTTTTATGCGGTTCAACTGTCAATATTATTAACACTTTGCACTTTAAATTACTTTCTTAATGGCTTCCAGGAATAAATAATTCACTGTCAGAAATGATTTTTCTCGGTCAATATTTTCAAGTGTTTTGGGTGTGAATTAGAGAACAGCGAGGCGCACTTTTCAACTAAAAACGAAAACTTCAGTGTTGAGTTTATAATTACTTCTGAATATTTCTTCATATGCATTGAATTTAAACCTATATATTTTAGATTTTAATGGAAATGTTTCTTGTAGGTCCAGTGAAATATTTTGGATCAGTTTGATTTTTTAAAGGGCTTATCAATAGATTTAAAAAAGCCATCAAASTTCTCATTTCCGGCAACTTGTGGGGCTATGTATTAAACACTCCTGATCCTCTCGCAAAAGACAACACTTTTACCAATTTTTTGGCATGGTAAAACTATTTTACTTTGACTTTCACTAGTTCAAAGTTTCTAAAAAAATAGAGAAAAGAGAAAAAAGTGCCCGAATTTATATCTAAAAAAAGCTGTCAGATTTTTAGTGAATAATTTCATAGACCATTGAGCACTTTGTTCGTAMGTCTTGTCTTGCGTAAGAGCATGGCAACAACTGGACAGCACTTTAAGCAATGAAGTCAAAGAGTAAAGAGTTCTGCTGMAAATTCATAAAGTTTCTTAYTTTAAAAGTCTCGCCAAAAAATACACCAAAATTAATGTGTTCTATATCCTTTCCTGGAATTAGTCTCTGTTTGTTTAATATAAAAGTACAAATACATCTTTTCAGACCGTTATTATTTGCATTGCTCGTGGGAGATTTAAAGTTGAAGATTGTAGTTACCACGAATTCATGAAGAAAAAGTGTTCGCCGCAAACGATGTTTTAATTTTGAAGCATCTTTTCTGACTGAGGCTAAAAGAATTTCTGAGCATTTGCGCAAATAAATATTTGTTTACTAAGGCTTTTTTGATTTGCATCGATATATCGCCGGAACTTATTTTTTCCATAATTCACGCATAAAAACGTTACCTTTATGTTTCTTCCAAGAGATTGGTACCCGACATCTTCGTCGTCACTCACTTTCTCCCCAAACTTTTGAAAGTCGCCTCCAGTGTAACTAGGCGTTGAGTCAACCATCTTTTTCCCTCACAGAGCTCGCAATGTCGTCCAGAGCTAGCTGTGTAATCCTCTTTAAGAGGGACGCCAAGAGTAAAGGCTCCTCATTGGCTGCACCCAATAAAGTTTGCCGAAGATTACGTTCTGTAATCAACACTGTATTGTTCTGTTGAAAAGAGAATTTTTAAACAATGCCGTAATTGCTCTCCAAATGATTGCGAAAGCTAACTCAGGGTGGCATATAAACGCTTTTGATGGCCATATATGCCTATCTGCAAATGCATTAAATACATATACGATTTATATGACAAATGTTTAAATCCCAATATGTTTAATTTGAATTCCCGCGGTGCGCGTTCGTGACAAACTATACATTTACGATGCGACGTTTTAGCAGAGGCTGTTGTCTCTGCGGTATGGTAATCTATTTAATTGTCTTCAAAACTAAAGCTAGATCAACTTGTTTCATAACATTGTCAAGATGGCTTTTAAAACAATGGTAATATTCTCAAATGTATCTGCAGAATACCACACTGCGCCACAAATGGCAGTCGTGAAAATTATCTTAGCGAAATATCCTGCAAACGAATGATTTTTCCGCTAAATCTGTTGTAAATGAAAAGTTCCTTGTTTCTATGTTAGCATGAGGCTTCAACATTTAATCCGTCCATCTTATCCTGAGGAAMATGCACTGTTAGTCTAGCACCATCACCCTTATATACACTAGTTTCCAGCCGAAACATCGAAGAAACATTTTTGCGCACATAATTTTCATCGACAAATGTTGCAATATTTTGTGAGTGCTTTTTTTAAACCCGAGAAATAAAATACAAAAGACAAAGTGCAATAATTTGTAAAAAAAAAAACAACAACTAAAAAACCGTGCAAAATAAAGACGAATGAAGCATATACAATAAGCTAAAGTGCATTTCACGGATTTACRATAAAAACCGCTCTAAACACCAAAAGAAAAAGAGTGCTTCTAATGAAATTTCGACAATATTGACAGCTTTCCTTTCTTAGCTTTTCGTATTTATCGAGAGATCCTTAATTGTATTCGACCTGTCATTACCCAGACGACAGTTAACACCAGATCTTGCCTTGTGTAAAYCTTGATTATCAGATTGGTCGACCAAAGGCGTTAAAGCTATTTTGGATCATCCGTGATTTTTTCAAAGTTTACATTTGAGATTCTAGTTTTTTTTCAAGTTTGTTTTTCTTATGCATTGATTAATTACGCGAATTGACTTCTGATTTTTGACGTTTTAGCATCTGGCTTGATGCAATTTCAAAAGTCTAAGGCTATGCAAGACCTTAGTTTACTGCCATAAACCGCGGCTACCAATTTACAATTTACAACACCAGTGTGACAAACTTCTATAAAAGAGGTGATTTCCCTTGTACTAGTGACATTTTCTTTTATATTTTTCTCTGCCTTTTGTCCTATTTTCTTTCCTTCTTTTTGGGAATTACATTCCGTCAATCCTTCAGTCCATGTTGCCATTAAAGATTTACAATTCCCTCTGTACCGCGGAGCACTGGGCCCTAAGAAAACAAAATGGCGGACGRAGAAGAACAGCGTGTTTTACGAGTAAATCAGGTAAGTTTGCAAGCTGCTCACTTTGAACTCCAAAACTGAAACCCTCTTGAATCAAATAAAACTCTTCTTTCCATCCAGCTYGATGCAACGCTTCTAGACGGTGAGATCTTTACAGTTTTGAAGGCACAGCTTGTCAAAGCTTTCAAGTTTTTTGAGGTATTCTAGGTTTTCGCGCGAAAGTGTCAAATGCTGGCGAACTAAATGTGGGGTTTATTTAATAGCCAGGAGTMCTTTCTAAACTGGAACCAGAGCTGAATGCTATTCTGAAAGCAATCGTATGGAAGGTGAGCTCTTGATTRTAAAAAGCTGCCTGGTGGAAAATAGTAACTTATCCCTTCGGCTTTGYATGACAAATATTCTGTGTATTGTCTAGTTTTCTATCTACAACAAAGGCTCCACTGTTGGTCAGCAGATGTTAAATATGCAATACAGTAAGTAACCTTCTTGTAAGMTGTTTCATTGGGATCCCTGTGTTTCCTCAAAAACAATCCTGTCGGAGGGASKGGGCGGTGMTATATTAGTAAAGTCATATTTTTTCTTGAGCACCCACCCCWYCCCCAAYGAACMCCTAAAATAAATGAAYAKATTYTTTTGYACCTATATTGTTGTTACTTTAATGCTGTGCGGCGCTTTTGTTTCAAATCATAAATCTTTCTGACATACATGTATTCTAGGTGACTCCCTGAATTCTTCTAAAAGAATTGTACTTGGTGTGGTTGTTATTGTTGGCAAATATCTTCAAGAACGAAGTACTGAGATTAAACATATTACAAGAAGATATGGAGATTTCAATTTGGTAAGATAAACTCCCTGAAAAAATTTAACTTTTTATGAAATAAACACTAAGTCTTTTAGTAATCTCTTTTACACTGTCTTAGCCTCAAAACTGTTTAAATATTGTTTTATTCAGTAACAGCCAGTGGAAATGCGAGTTGTACAGTACTGTTAGAACAAAAGATTGTGATTTTATGACATAACAAAGAGAGACAGACAATACAAAAAACAAAGATGTCCAGTGGAACAATAGGCATTGTTTAACATAATCCTGCCATTCTTTGTTTTTATTGTCTCGATCAATCACTATCTTCGTTCTGATGGTAGTGGTCGATCTGGAAATGCAATCTGAGATCTGTGTTAAAGTATACAATCTCTAGTTTTATCTATTAATTTTTTGCATATTTTATACACAATCGAGGGTAACTCAGTGTAATTTATAGATCGAAAACTCAACTATTTCAAGGTCTTATGGACACATTTGGATGGATTGTAAAAACTTTTCTATAGACCATGGTAGTGTCTACTAGCTGCTTGCCATTAATAATTCAGTTTCCCTTTTTGTAGTTTTGGAAAGTCCTTCGGCTGGGAGAAAAATTCTACCAAGTGGCTTCACTTATAAACTTTTTAGTTTTCCTGCAAAGAGGAAGGTAATTATCAATTAATTTAAAAAATGATGTTGAATTTGAATGGTTATGTCAGCAGCAACCGTTGCATCTCGACTTCGATRTTCAAAGGAAATAGTTGGGATTTAGGTTTTTCTGCGACTTGGGGGCAGAGCTTGATACTAATCAGGCAATCATTGAACAAATATTCGAAAAGCTCCGCCCCTCAGATGAAAGAACAAAATCCAGACAAACTTCAAAACAAAGAGGTTGCGATGCAACGATTTCCGCTGTAAGATGTGGATAAAAATGATACCGTGGGCTCAGTAGGTAGAGCACAGGAAGACCGGGCCCAGGAAGACTGAGTTTAAATCCTTCAAGGACTGTAACTCAGGGTCTTTTTGCAGAGATCCAGTTGTCTTTGTTTCTCTACTGCCAAAACTCTTTGAATGCGTACTTTAACAAACAAGTCTCTTTGAAGGTTTCAGTCTTTACTGGAGAGAGCTCTKGGAATCCACCATGTGTTTGAAAAAAGGCAATCAATGAGACAGGTATTATAATTTGATACAATTTTTTGTATAGAATTTGTGAATTACTTTATAGATCATTTCATTCAAATAGTCAACTTTAGATATTTTGGTTCGATGACTATGTACACAAGAACGCACATGAGGCTCCGGGAAAACAATGGATAATC